GGCAATCGCACCTCTAAACTACCTTCAACGCCGAGCCTAGTTTGAAATTAGGCAAGTTGTTAAGGTTTATAATCAGTCAAATGGGGAAAAAGGTTGACCTAAATAAAGCAAAGAAATCATTAAAATGTCAACTCCTGGCATTGAAAAAGAGGTTCGTGGATTTTTAAGGAGATTGAATTATATTGCCTTATTCATATGCCAATTATCTGTCAGTTGAGAGCCAATTTTACGTTTTTACGAAAAAATTAGTCAATGGAATAAAATGATGATTATTAAGAAGCTTTCGAGAAGATTAAGCAGTATTTACATAATCTTCCGATATTAGTATCGCCAGTACTAGGGAGGTCACTCATTAGAAAGAGCATGTCATTTATTACTTGAGCAAGAAGTTCAATGATTACGAAGCTAGATGTTGAGCCACACAACTTGGTTAGTATAAAAAAAGGACCCAATGCATATACATTTTTGAGAAACCAACCCTTATTAGAATGATTGCTTGATGTCAAGTTCTCCTATTAGAATATGATATTGTATATGTTACCTAGAAAGCAATCAAGGACAGTGCTCTTGCAGATTTCATAGCTCATCAGTCGATGACTGATTATCGGTCAATACAATATGAATTTCTTGATGAAAATATAATGTTGTTGTTTAATAAGAAAAAATCTTCAATAAAAGACAAATGGGTCATAATGTTTAATGGTGTTTCTAATGCGTTTGGACATGTGGTACTATATTGATTTATCTAAAGAAGCAATATATCCTAATCACAATTAAGTTATCGTTTAATTGTACAAATAATACAGCTGAAAATGAAGCATGTGCAATGGAAATTCAAGCAGCTATAAAATTAAATATCAAAATTCTTGAGGTATATAGTGGTTCAACTTTGGTCATCCACCAACTCAAAGGTGAATGAGAGACTCGAAATGCAAAATTGATCACTTATTAAGCATATATCAAAGAATTGGTGAAGTATTTTGATGAAATTACTTTCTAACACATTCCTCATGAGAAGAATTAATTGGTTGGTGCTTTAGCTACTTTGTCATCAATGTTTTGAGCTAGAAAGAATACATGCCACTCATAAAAATGGACCAACTTGATCATCGTACCTACTGTCAAATGATTGAAGAGGAATCACATGGTAAATCCTAGTACCATGATATTAAGAGTTATCTAAAACACCAAGAATACTTATTAAATGTTGTTGATAATGACAAAAGAATACTAGGAGAGTAGTAATGAGTTTATTTCTAAATAAAGATGTGCTCTATAAAAGGGATCATGATATGATTCTACTCATATGTATGGATGCTTCAAAAGCATGAAAAATTATGGAAGAAATTCATGAAAGTTCATTTGGAACTCATACCAATGGACATGCCATGACAAAGAAAATTCTAAGGTCTGGATATTACTGGTTAATAATGGAGGCTGATTACTTTAATTACGTGAAGACATGTCATAAATGTCAAACATATGCTAACAATATTAATGTTTCATCAACAACTTTGAACCTCTTGTCATCACTGCTTCATTCTTGTTGCCATTGACTATTTCACAAAATGGGTTGAGGCTGCTTCATATGCTAGTGTGACTCAAAATGTGGTGGTAAGATTCATTAAAAGAGACTTGATTTGTCAGTATAGCCTTCTAAGCAAGTTGATAACACACAACGACACTAATCTAAATAATAAAATAATGAAAGAATTATGTGACAACTTTAAGATTCGACATCACAATTCATCCCCGATCACCCAAAGTTGAATGGAGCCAAAGTCGCCAATAAAAATATTAAGAAGATCATTCAAAAGATGGTGGTGACATACAAGAATTGGTATGAAATGTTGTCATTTGGTTGAACGCATTATGTCACAGTCAGTTATACCAAAGAAGGATGAAGAAGACTTTTGACAAAAATGTTCGTCCACAAAAATTCAATGAGGGAGACATAGTACTCAAAAAGATTTTACTAACACGCAAAGATTATCCGAACAAGGGATCTCCAAATTATGAAAGACCATATGTGTTGAAAATGACTTTCTCAAAAAGAGTTTTAATCTTCACAAACATGGATGGAGAAAATCTTCCAAACCCCATTAATTTTGATGTTAAAAAATACTATGCTTAAAAGATAATAATAATAATAATAATAATAATAATAAAATAGCTCGCTAAGTTGAAAACCTGAAAGGGCGACTTAAGTAAAAGTTAAAACGACTCGGTGAGTTGAAAACTCAAAAGAGTGGCTTAGGCAAAAAATTAAGGTAAAATAAATTCTACTCTAAACTGAAAACTTAGAAAGACAATTTAAAAGAAAGGTGAGCAAGACTTTATTTGCAAGAAAGTGCTTCAAATTGGGATAATTTTGAGAGGTTGAAGCAGAATCGAGCTGGAGATAAATCCAAAATATCATACTAGGACAATTCTATTTGGAACTTTTGTTAATGAGTGGTTAATTTATATGAGACACTATCACTATTCATCTGGAAGGCATCACTTAAGCGGCATAATATTTTACTATTTTTGTAGTCATTCTAATTTTTTGTTTGATATATTTGTTTTTTCCATTACTCATATCATGAGTCTTCTTTGTAAATTAACCTTTTTTTTTTTATTATGGTGATCCCATTTTTCTAAAAATATTTATCTCTTGGCCTTTATCATCTTCTATTTAGTTTATACACCACTTCGTTAATTTGTTTACTCAAACTCTTCAACAACATTAACCAACGATACTATTGATATTTTAGTAATTATATACTAAAAGAAAGTATGTAAATTGTTAAAAGGGTAATAAGAAAATACAATTACAATAATATACTCTAAAAATTCACATGGTAAGTCTGATAAATTTTTTAATAAATTTAGCATGACAGAAAAAGTTGACTCCTCATAACAACTAATTGTCTTATTTACAGATATACTGTACTTCATCTCTCCAGCTTTCTAATGACTTAAATGGATGTTATTTTCTTTTGTGAATTTTGTTTAAAATTGATTTTCAACTTGAGTATGTGCATATGTTGTTTCATCGCTCACTTATGCTTAGTTTGTTTTGATGAGCACATGTTTGGGTCAAGGTAGAAGAGGACTACTAGGTCACTAGTAGCAATGGAAAGGAAAAATCAAAACAAGTGAAGAAAAATAATATAAATATTTTTCAGGGAACTAATATAAATATTTGTAAATTTTAATTTTTAAAAAATAAAATATAAAAACAATGATAATGTATTAATAATGAGCTCAATTTTTGTTATCTAACTCATCACTTAATATAGAAAAATTGACTATAGGATTATTTTAAATATTTTAAAACTGTTAAGAACTAAATCTTAATAATTTTTTTAATAACTAATTTTAAATATGCTACTTTTATAGGGATAAAAACATAATAAATTATCTATTATTTTATTTTTTATCAATTAATTATTAAATATTAAACTCAAATATTAATTTTATTAAAATTTCAAGTGATTAAGTTTCATTACATTAATTTTTAATAAAATAACATTTTTTGTGTTAGTTTTGAAAAATCAAAATATTTATTTAACAAAAGATCTAAAATAAAAGAGAAGTTAAAATAATTTATTTCAAAATTTTATCATTTAAGTATTAAATTATTTTAAATTCTTAATGCAATAGAGAAACTTAATTATATTTATAAAATTAAAGAAATTTATGTAATGTTTAAGAAACATATAAGGTTTTCATGAAGAGAAAACATGTGCGCTAAAAGGATTATTTTTCATATTTATATAAAAATAAAAGTTAATTTTTCAATCTAAATTATAACTATCTTTCACATGATATAATTTTATTTATTTGTGTTAGGTAGGACTTTATAAGTTATAAAATACAAAAATTAAGAATTTTACATAAGTTTTAAAAATAGAAAAGAGTTTTGCATTAAAAATATAAAATAATTTGGAGGTTGGAATAGTTTATTATATTCTTTTTATTGAGTTTATATTATGTTATGTGTAAGTTTTGTTGATCACTAGAATGGCTATGTTATGTTACATTGCCTTAATTTTGTGTAGTTAAAAAGTGATATTTTTTTAGCGAAATAAATAAAGTCTTTTTATATGAAAAAATAAATAAAAGCTAAATATTAAAATATGAGATTATGAAAAATAAAAACGAGAATGAGAAAGGTACCCAAAATCCTCGATGATAATTTTTGGTGCTATAATTTGTTTCATATATTTTTTTAAAAAACGCCTGACAAAATTTAGTACTTTAATTTAATTTTTATAATTTTCAGGTGTTACATTTCTAAATTTATGTATCTGTCTTATTAGTGATTTTTAAGATTTTATATATGCGAAATTAATCCTAAAATCTCATATTCCTGTAAAATGATTAATCACAGACAAACCAAATCATATTAATATGTATTTTTAATACATACTGTTAAAAAGTGAGGTTAAATATATTTTATAACTATTTAAAATTATTATAAAATTATATTAAATATATTTTATGATTTTAAGTTAATAAGCTAAATTAGCTTCTTAAATTTTGTCGTCGACTAACATTGAAAAAAGATAAATTCTACAGTATTCTTAAAAACGAGGGATATTTTATATGTAAATCAATTGTAACTATTAATTTTAATAGTATAGTTAGTAGTATATTTAAATATATATATATATATATATAAATATATATATATATATATATATATATAAATATTTTTTAATATCTTAATATAATTAAAAAAATTTGATACTCTCAAATTTAGAAATCCTGTGGCACCCAGCTTAAAAAAAAAATCCATAATACCGTAACATTCTTGTGATGTTGTTGCGTGCGCTAGTTAGTACTAACAAACAACAACATGAGTGCTCAAACAAAACAAGGCATAATAAATATCTAGCGCCACCCACGCGGACGATAGATGATACCCCACGTGCAGTGTGCTATCAATAATTGCTTTTGTTGCTCCGAAAATGAATCTCCACTCTCCACTGTATATATTAACTCAAACTACTACATTACGACATCAACGCAAGTAGGGGAATAACAATTCATAAAAGCCAAACTACTTAACCCTCACTTCGCCGCATCCACCCACTTCCTGTCATATCCCTAGTTTCTTCCCATTCTTCATGTTTCCAACAAGGTAGTTTTTTCCCCATTTTCTCAGTTTTGAATGAACTTTCATGTCAGAAGATTTCATTTCATTGCATGAGTGTTGTACTTGTAGATGATCTTCATAGCATTGAACATTCCCAATGCATGCATTAGTTAGCTCAGTGATTGTCTTTTTTTATTCTGTGTGTCCTGCAGATTTCGGCTGTGATCTGTTTGGTTTCCTTCTGATTGTTTACTCAGTGGAAAAAAAGTAGAAATTAAATTAGTTGACCTTTCTGGGGAGTTTTGTAGTGAGAGAAAGTTGCAATTTCTCTTTTAGGATAATGGCGAGTTGTTCTTCAAATTTTGCTTTGGCTCGTGGTGTCAATGTAAGGAAAGAAGCTGTTTTGGGGAAGCTGGGAAATCAAGATTCAAGTTTGAGTAAGTTGAGTTTCAGGGTTGTGTTGAAGGAGTCTGCATTTCCCGTCCTTTGTGGGAACAAATGTGATAGATTATATGTGTCTATGAAGAAGAAAGAAACATTTTTTGTAATGAGTATGTTGCAGCCTCCGGATGAATCACAATCTACTGTAAATACTATAGGATTTTCGGAAGGGGGAGGTGATAGTGTCACTAGAAAGGGCCACAAGAATTCCGATAGCGAGTTAGGTTCCAAAACTGATAGAAATGAAGATAATGGAGTTGTTTTTGATGGTAGTGGTGGTAATGGGAGCTTTGGAAGTGGTGGAACGGGAGATGGCAATGGTGGGGGCGGCAGTGATGATGACGGTAATGACAAAGAAGAGGAGGAATTTGGGCCATTACTAAGATATGAGGAGGTAATGCGAGAGACGGAGGCTCGTGGGACTACCCTTCCTTTAGATATGATAGAGGCTGCTAAGAGTGTGGGAATCCGCAAGGTGCTTCTTCTTAGATATTTGGATCTGCAGGTAAACTTTCTAAATGTTTATACATTTTCCCCTTTCTTTCAAAGTTGAGATTATGTAATGTGTTACAAACACCAACTCGTGTCAAATAGGATTAGCATTACCTTGGACTTTAATATTGTTATTTGTGATGTTGTAATTGTAGGGATCTGTTTGGCCTCTAGGATTTTTCATAAAATCATGCTCTATGCTTCGGAATCGAATGCTGGCTGATCCATCGTTTCTTTTTAAAGTTGGCTCAGAGGTTGGTTTGGCTTGTCTTATAGTAACTGTAACTTTCGTCATTCATATATTTAATGGTAAAACTGCAGTGTCTTGAGTTATCAAATTATTTGACTGTTCTGTGCAGCATATGACAGTAAGTGTTCACTGTTGACAATTATTATGTATTAATGTGCTCTGTTTAAATGAGACGCTAGGACATAGTTGACTATGGTACTAAAATAGTCTACCTATGTAAAAAGGTATCTATATGCTAAAAAACATTGTGCTGTGTCCCTCATATCTTTGAAGGTACAACTGGTAGTTTTTAAGAATTAAGATTTGCTGTCTGCTGTATGTGAAAATCATTAATGAAATTGGCATAGTTGAGTAATTTTGAATATTTGAAAAGCATTTATATAATTTTTCTCCCACATGATATGCAGATCGTCATTGATACTTGTTGTGCTACTTTTGCTGAAGTTCAAAAGAGAGGCAAAGACTTTTGGGCCGAATTTGAGTTGTATCTTGCAGATCTTCTTGTTGGGCTGGTTGTTAATGTTGCTTTGGTAGGAATGTTGGCACCCTATGCTCGAATTGGGAAACTATCAGTATCTGGGGGATTCCTTGGTAGAATGCAGAAAGCATATGCAGCTTTGCCTAGCAGGTTACTCATCATACCATTGGCGTGGCATTGTTTTTTAATGTTAAAATTTTTATGTATGTTTCTTATGTGTGTATATTGATAACAATTTTGCATCTTAAACAGACATGGAATTAAGGCTACTCATTTCTTAATTGCATTGTCTTTGGAGGGTGAAGAAATTTTAGTCTAAGTTTTATTCTGCTCATTTTATGCAGTGTATTTGAAGCTGAAAGGCCAGGATGTAGATTTTCTGTACAGCAGAGACTTGGAACATACTTTTACAAGGTAACAACCGAAAGGTCATTTTATTTCTATTAAATTATGGTAAGTATCTGTTGAGTATTCATTTTTGTGTGCATTTCTAATTCCAGGGAATAATGTATGGAGCTGTTGGATTTGCATGTGGTATTATAGGCCAAGGCATTGCAAATTTGATCATGACTGCAAAGCGGTATGGGTTCTCGACTAGAGTTCAGTTCAGTTCACATAACTTTCGCTGTTCAGACGCCCTGTCCCCTTCCCTCATACCCCAAGTGTTAAAAGACTCTGTTTTTGTCCTTTTTAGTAGTGTGTCTGAACATGGCCATTTGGATGAATGCATCATATATTACAATGATGATTCTGTTAATAAATAAAATTTTGACTGAAAATTAATCAAAGCATTGGGACATTTTTGGTAATAGATGAGTGTACATTTGTTTGAGCATTTATTTGCTTTCGAAGAGTTGATTGATATTAATGCAAGTTTAAATTTGATTCAGTATTATGTAATAAGTGAAAACTCTACTAAATTGATAAATGTGCAAGTGGCACACCATTGTAGATCCTACGGTTTTTCACTTGACATAAAATGTTTTCTGAGCAGACTTTTAAACAGTTGACTCCATAAGGTTTACTTATAGAGTAAAAGATCTACTAAATTGATAAATGTGAAAGTGCCACATCATTGTAGAATCTAAGGTTTTTCACTTCACTTAAAATGTTTTCTGAGCAGACTTTTAAACACGTGGCTCTCTAAGTTGAGGATTTTCTCAGTTTTTATAAGCTCTACTTTAGCAATATCTGTAGTCAACGGGAGATCTCAACAGGCTCCATATAATTTACTGATAGAATAAAACTGTTTTACATTGATGCTATATAAGTTGTATCTAATAAATAAACAGTGTTCATTATGAATGATACTTTATGTTTCACTGTTTGCAGTGTATGAATCCTTTTTTTCCTGAGCAATTAATTTCTCACCTGTTCTTTCTGTATACCAGGAGCATAAAGAAATCAGAAGAGGACATACCTGTGCCACCTCTTGTGAAGAGTGCTGCACTTTGGGGTATGATATTGTTCTTTGTTTAAAGCTGTTACATGATTTCTAGTTCATTTCTTCTATACAGCTAGAAGACAACATATGTTTTCAATGAATTATTAAGAAAGTCATTGATTTTTAAGCTTATTATAAAGTTAACACATATGAATAGAGTTATGAGGCCAAATTTAATGCCCTTCATTGTCAAGTCTGATTCAATTAGAGAATAAATAGTAATCATATTAGGACAACTAAAAGGTTTATTTTATATTTTTGAAATATGTGTTTTACTGTGAACGTTTGAAGCCGTTTTATTGATACCTAGATATATTCTTTCAACATATAATTTATTTTAGTTCTTAAGATGTTTGAAACTTTAACTTATATATTTAAAACTGTTTGGTTCAATTAGAGTAGTAGAAAATGCTAGACATATTATCTACTCTGCATTTTTCCTTTGGCAGTTTTTGAGCCAGTTGAAAACAAGTGAGAAAGGAAACTATTTTTTTTTTCTGGCGACCTGATTTTAACTTCTCTCTCTCTCGCTCTCTCTCTCAGTCTTTAGCCCCTCCCACAATTAAAGAAAAAGTTAAAGGGACCTGTCATCATATTTGTGTATGATTCTTGTGCTAATCAGCCCAAAAAGTGTGTTAAATACGCAAATGTCATTTGATATTGGTCCAATTCATGTGCATTGTTGATCACCTAGATATCTTATACTTAGATTTGGTGTATTCTGAATTACTGCTATACCAGTTTGAGCGCTGTTTCATCTTTGATCGACATGACTTCTTGTATTTCATTCCTGTCTGTAACATGTTCCCTGTTCCTGTCTCTCTGAACATCCGTGGCAGGTGTGTTTCTTGCTGTTTCTTCGAACACACGATACCAGATCATCAATGGATTGGAACGTTTGGTCGAAGCTTCACCACTGGCAAAGCAGGTTCCCCCAGTTGCTCTGGCTTTCACAGTTGGTGTGCGTTTTGCCAACAATGTGTATGGTGGCATGCAATTTGTTGACTGGGCTAGGTGGAGTGGGGTGCAATAACTGGCTAATTGCTTTATCTTGTTCTGTGTTATAGCCTTGTAGATGTGATCTTTTAGCCATCGTTTTTCTTAAATATAATGACCAAAGGTTGTATTTTGCTAATACCTTGGTTAAGGTTGCATGGTTTGATATAGAAAAATTTTCTTTCTGGGATTATAAATGTTATCAGGCCCTAATTTAAGAGACTTTAGCAATTGTTTCTTCTATATTCTCTTGCATCATTTCGGCATTGCTTCATAATTAGCCATAAAGGTTCAGTCTTCTGCTGTACTTATAACACAATCATTTTTGGTCAAAACATACATCTCTCTCTACAACCAAAATGAATTATGACCAAGGGCGCATTTAGGTAACTAGATTAATGAAGAAATTCTAATAGTTTATTGCATACGTGATTGATATCATAAATTTGACAATGAAGCTTATTGAAATAATGGAAAAGTTTATTAAAATAAGCTGAAAAGAGTTTGTGGTAATCAAACGCATCCTAAAACTAGTCAATATTTGTTCTTGGAACTTAATTTGTGTCTGTTGCTTGATTTAAATCTCCAATTTAGCGGTAACTCCATTAGTTTGCTGAAGCAACAACAAAAAAAAGTCTGTACAATCAACTCCCCACTTTCATAGCCCAATCGGTGTCTCTAATTTACCTGTAGTGATTATTCTTTCTCAAAAACTGTAAAAAATTCACAGCTAATAGCATATAGTAACTCAACAACAAATAAGCTATTGGCACTCAAATTAAAGGAAGAAATAAAACGGATGAGAAAGTGAGGAACTGGCGCTTTTCTTCCACTAAGAGAATTTATATATTTTTTAAGGCCAACCATGTAACCAACAAATTTGGAGGCATTAGAACTGGATAAACAACTTAATTATACACTTGTTTAATAAATTTTTAGAATATAAAAATATATGAAATAAATTTGATCATAATATGAATTAAAATAAGTTAAAAGAACATGATTATTTTCATAATTTTTATAAGCTCTTTTAACAACCTTTATCGTATTATCCGGTTTCAAGTGATTATTGTAACATCAGGCGTATGTTAATTCGTTTTTCAAACTAATCAACAGTGATTAAGGTGCCTGCATTAAGAAATGTTAGGATATCTATAGAAATTTATATAATGGTTAGTTTAGAGTATCTTAGATGATTTTGAAAATAATTTACATATTTGCTTAATATTTCTTAATTTTCTTCCACAAATAATTGGGTTTATGATTCTAGTCTGTTTTCATATACAAATTTGAAATCTTGTTATTAAGAGTGGATAATTTCATGTTCTTGTCATATAACAACGTGTTTTTCCCCTTTATAATGTGCTTTTTTGAGCTTTCATATCAAGTTAGAATATTATTTTTCCTCCTTTAATTATTTTTCCAATCAAATATTTTTTTTTTATTTTTTCATCAAAACTCAAATCTTTTAACCAAAATTAGTTTTTGAAAATATCCAATCGAATCATTTTTCTTTTTATTAAAGCATCATGACTGTTTGAAAACCATTAGAAAAGCGATCATCTTTATTGCTTTCAAACCTCAGTTTAAATGCTTGTATTTTTAAATTTAATTTTAAATTATTCTATTAAACTTATTTTTATTAATTAAATTAATTTTAGCACATATTTTTAATATTTTTGTATTTATGTGTATTTAAAAATACTCGTGGAATAAATGAAAATATTTACCAGTATTAGTATAAGTAAGAGTTAATGTTTTATCTTTTTTTAAATGTATCCTCATATACTTACATTTTAAATCTAAAGAAAAGTGCGCAAATTAATTTTATAAATTTTATAATAAAAAAATTAAAGTAATCTAAAGGTGGAAATCCTTTGTAGATATTTTTTTAATAAATTTTGATTTTCATATCCATGTATTGCATTTTTATTGTATTTTATCACATATTTTTATTATTATTATTATCTTTGTATTGCCCATTGCAGGATGTATAACAACCTTTTTTCTTCTTCTTTGAAACAGAATCCATCATACCCAACATGACATTTTTACAAAAGCCCCGATAAAACTACTATTTTACTAGATAGGCTGACTATAATAACACTCGGTGTTATTAAATTTAGTGAAAAAATAAATTTTTAAGAATACTATTAACTATAAAAAAATAAATATTATTTTGAATCTCAATTTTACCTTTTGGTAAAATATATTAATCTCAATTCAACCTACTATTACTTTAATAAGAACCATACAAAACTCCTATTTCCACCGAGTAAGTAAGCTTTATAGATCACTATGTTTAGTGTGTATTTGAAAACTCATTAAAGTTAAGTTAATTACATTCCAAAGTAAAAATTATAACTTGTCGAATTAGAATAGACTCATATTTAAATAGATTTGATATCAATTTAAATACATGGTAAATAAAAAATAAAATAATAAAAAATTATTATTTACTATCAAATCTCTAATCTCAATTCTACCTTCCTATTAAGATATCTAAATTCTAATAATTTTACAAGAATTATTTTCAATTATTCATCAACAAGTAATAAATGATTCTAAAATAAATTTTTAAATTATTGTCTCATAATAATTATTTTCAATTATTAAGAATTTTTTGATTTAATTGTCTAAATAACAAAATTTATATCAAGCGTGTTTAAAAATAAATGAATTATAAATGAAATTTAAAGTAAGTAACACAACACACTTCTTGACTGAACTTATAGGAGAGAAACTTATGGCATATAAGTTTACTCATTCAATCCTTTATATTATTATTCTGTTTAACTCTAACTTCAATTTTTTTGTAATTACCAATCATTTATACAAATACTATCAATATCCAATGATAATGTAATATTAATATTCTTTTATCTAAATTAACATTCACAATGGTCATGTAAGATATCAATTAAAGAAAGTATAAAACATATATGAACTTGTTAATTTCATAACAATTGCAACTTGTTCACATTGATGTTGCTAGACCACAAAGAACTCTATCACTAAAATAAGTCTTTATTATATTATTTTTATTGATGACCTAATAAGAATATGCTGTATTTACTTTCTTAAATACAAATAAGAAGTAGTTGGAGTGTTCTGAAAATTCAAAACACATGTTGAAAATCAAAACAATTACTGTATTCAAATTTTGAGGTCAAACAATGAAAAAAGTATATAGCTAATCAGTTTTAACAATTCTGTTATGAAGTTGGGATCGATCATCAATTGATAGCTTCTTACACTCCTGAACAAAATAGAGTGAGTGAAAGAAAAATTAGATCAACTATGAAGATGGTCAAGTGTATGCTTCATCAAAAGGAATTACTAAAGAAGTTTTGGATTGAAGCTGCAAATTCATATGTGTTTATTAAACATAGAATTTGTATATGAGTTGTACAATATCAAACTCATTTTGAAGCATGGTTTGATTTTAAACCTTCTCTAAAATTTCTTAAAGTATTTAGTTGCTTGTGCCACTCACATGTCCCCTAAGTTAAGCAGGATAAGCTATACAAAAAAGTTGAACCCAAAGTATTAATTGGCTACAACACAACCTCTAAAGCTTATAGGATTTTTTAACCTCAAACTAAAAAAATTCTTAAAAGTAGAGATATGCACTTCATGGAGGATAAAAAATAGTGCTGAAGTGACTCAAAGAAGAATTAAAATATTGTATTGGAGTTTGAAGATACAATAGATAATTCACTTGTTTGAGACATAAGGTCGCTTTTTGACATCTATCAAAAAAGCAATGTAGAAGTGTGCAATATAGTTGTCTGTGAACTTGTCTATTTTAAAAAAGCTACTATGAAGAAGAAATAGTTAACTGCAATGGAAGAGATGTTCATGATCGAGATAAATCAAACTTGGGTGTTGGTTCCAAGATCTCATAATAGAAATGTTATAGGGGTGAAGTGAGTGTTTCGAACAAAATTCAATCTCAATGATTTCTTAAACAAACACAAAGCAAGACTTGTTATTAAGGACTATTCTTAAATTTTTGGAGTTGATTCTCGAAATACCTCTGCTCTAGTAGCAAGGCATGACACAATAAGGTTGCTACTTGCCATTGTAGCACAAAATGAGTGGTAAAGTGCTTTATATAAATATCAAGTCAACCTCTCTTAATGATTTTTTTGCAGGAGAAGATTCATGTTAAGCAACCAAAATGTTTTGTGATCAAAGAACAAGAAGATAAAATCTATTTGCCAGAAAAGGCTTGATACATCTTGAAACAAGCACCTAAAGTATGGTACAACATAATTAATGATCATTTGTTGAGTTTAGGCTTTCAAAAAAGTCAATCTTAAGCAATAATCTATGTTAAGTGTGTTGATGCTGATATCTTAATCATTTCTTTGTGTGTTGATGATTGTTTGGTGACAAAAGCAACCTAGCACTAATTAATAAATTCAAGCTAAAAATGAAGAATGTCTTTGAGATGACTAATCTTGGTCTTATTGCAGATGTAGTAGCTATGAATCAAGTTATTTGGTTGAGAAATATTTTAACAGATTTAAGTCTAAAGGAAGATAAAAGCATAGAAATTTTTGTTGATAACCAAGCAACAATTTCAATTTCACATAATCATGTATTTCATGGGAAGACTAGACATTTTAATGTGAAGTTGTTTCGCTTAAAAGAAGTTTAAGAAAATGGTGATGGAAATCTAGCTTATTGTCACATAGAAGACCAAACTGTTGACCTATTTACCAAATCTTTTTCATTTAGTAGGTTCAAATTTCTAAGGAATTAGAAGCTAGGAGTTTGTAGGAGTGTTGCATATTTTTAGGAAGGTTTCAGATTTGTTTCAGTTTGAATAAGTCAAATTATTTTTCTTAGGATTTGTTATTACCTATTAGTGGATAAACTATTTTCTATTTTTCAACTAAGTTATTAGTAGTGGTTGCTAGAATCATGGGGTATGACCTCTTTGTCAGTTACTTCTGAATGTATTAAGTTATATTACAATAAATATATTGTATTCGAGCTAATACTCTTTGTTACTCTATTTTGTTATCACATAAAGTTCTGCTTCTTCACTATTTTTCTTTTCTTGTACTATTGCTTTTACCTCTTAAAACCAACAACTTTCGTT